CGATCGATTAGCCGCAGAAATTCAATGTGCCGCAGACGGAAATGTTCGTACTATTGAGCGGAAATCACTGAGGAATAAGACCTAGGCTTGACAAAACATAGCAAATTTTGAAGGTATAAATTTTCCAGCAACACTACATGATGTTGATAAATTAACCCAAACTATGCTATAAATATATTTAGGCCAGTGTATAAAGAAGTGTTCAGAAAAATAAAAGTAGATATAGTCCCACTACATATCTCTGAAAGAAATTATCAAGTCGAACATATGATAGATTTATTATATTTAACAGAAGGTGAAGAGAATTAAAATACAAATGATATACCAGAAGGATTAAAAACGCATTATGTATTTATAACTGACTTTTACATGATTAATGCATAAATGGAATAATCATCATGGAAAGAAATACTTTTGCTGAAAATGCTTACGATTTCCATATAGTAGATTAGATTTATTAGAAAAGCATATACCAACATGTCCAGGACCAAGTAAAGCACCACATATTAATCACATTATGGTTGATATTCATCACATTCTGGTATGATAAAGTGAACATTAAAATTAACAAGTCCATAATAATAAGTTATGAATGAGCACCATCGTCACACTGGTCAATTTTACAGCCACATCATAATCAGCCTCTCACTTATGTCACATAATAAAATGTTCACTTTGTCTGGTTTTGTTGCAGTCTGCCCCATATTAGAGAAGCAGATTACAATCTAACAAAATAATTGATAATTCTATTAGCAATTAATATTATTACATATATTATTACCAGACCGAAACACCAATTCAGTGGGCCATTCGTGTTATCAGAGGTCTCAAAAAGTTTATTTCAACAATTTGGAATAATCTCATCAATTAATTCTATCTTGCTGCACTCCTTAACTCTATTGTCATGTATTAGTATGTAGTTTGATATTTTGTACGACAATTATGTGGGGTGCATATATGAATCGGCACATCGCGAGAAATCCTTTCTACTTGATCTATAGTGATGTAGGAACGACTATTTTGAACGTTAAAAATAAAACCAAAGAAATAACAACAATCACAAATGTTCTAACGGTTTCGCAGCTCTATTTAAAGACAATATTCTCGGAATATTTTCCGCTACCATTCCTTTAGCCAAATACCACATTCTTGTACTTGCATTTCTTTCTTTTTCTTCAGATTTGAGTCTAGTTCTTGTAAAAACGTTGCTGAATATCTCCAACACATCGTCCGCATCATTCCAGAATTTTATTTCAGCTCGAACGTTGCTGTAATTGTCTATGATCAATTTCTCCAGTGTTCTGCCTTTTCTCACACACACGACATCCGTATCTCTTAATTGCAGTGACGGACAATAATCGTTTACGCCGTCCCCAACGTACACAACGTTATCATATTCTCTTAAATTTAACAACTGCCTCAACTCGTGGCCTTTGCATAGATTTCTATTGCACATTTTTTCCCCAGTAGTACTATGGATCGTGTTGCAATTTTGTTGTGAATGTGTATTACTGTCGATGGCTATACAATTTCCGGCATCCCATTCCGCATGGTTTGTGATTATCTTGTCAACAAGATGGTGAACTCCATAATGAGTGAGGATGTGATCTATCCAGATGGTGTTTGCGTCACTCACAATTATTATATCAGCATTGTGGTGTTTAGCCATATGGAGGCACGATACCATCGACGGATGCATCGGAACTGAAGATAAGGCTGATTCGATTTGTGACCGTGTTATACCAGCTGAATGAAGTTCTTTCAAAAGCACAGCCTAACGTTTAAAACGATGATGTAATTCTTTGTGGCTGGGCTGCAGAATTGAATACACGAAACAAAAGCACTATTCTGTTTCCTACCATCATGTCGATCCATTCCATAGAATGTTGCAGCTTATCCATTTTCATTCGAAGCGGCTTTGACAACTTTTCTAAGACTATGCAATCACTACCAAATACACGACGTATGATGAAGAAGGTGAGAAAGCTTAATAAATACGATCCAATGCATATTCAATTATTCTTACCTGTCCTCGTCAACAAGTGACCAGTCAAAATCGAATACGACTAGTGCCTTTGGATTTGGCATGTTTTCGTTAATATAAATTTTTGTTTATTGGTTCTCTCCCATATACTGTGTCGCTTTTTGTGGTCTGTGGTGTTTATATATTTACGGTACCAAATGGATATTTCTATAATGGGCATTGAACATCCCGAAAATAGACTCGAATATAGTCTTGCTGTATTTTATGAAAGTGGAACTGGAGTAGAAAAAGATGAACAGAAGGCAGTTGAATGGTATAAAAAAGCTGCTGAACAAGGATATGCTGATGCTCAATATAATCTTGCTGTATTTTATGAAAATGGAACTGGAGTAGAGCAAGATAAACAAAAAGCAGTTGAATGGTATAAAAAAGCTGCTGAACAAGGAGATGTCAGTGCTCAATATAATCTTGCTGTATTTTATGAAAGTGGAACTGGAGTAGAAAAAGATGAACAGAAGGCAGTTGAATGGTATAAAAAAGCAGCTGAACAAGGATATGCTGATGCTCAAAATAATCTTGCTGTATGTTATGAAGATGGAACTGGAGTAGAAAAAGATGAACAAGAAGCAGTTGAATGGTATAAAAAAGCAGCTGAACAAGGAGATGTCAGTGCTCAATATAATCTTGCTGCATGTTATGAAAATGGAACTGGAATAGAAATAGATGAACAAGAAGCAGTTGAATGGTATAAAAAAGCAGCTGAACAAGGATATATCAGTGCTCAATATAATCTTGCTGTATGTTATGAAAATGGAACTGGAGTAGAAAAAGATGAACAAAAAGCAGTTGAATTATATCAGAGTGCAGTAAAACAAGCACACATGTCAGTGCAAGTTGAAAACAGTAGGCATTATAGCAAAATGGCTGGATTAAAATTTGACATTAATTTTGTAACTAGCTTCTGTCAATCAAGAGCTAAAGAAGGAAATGTTTATGCACAGTATATTCTTGGCCTGTATTATGAAAATGGAATTGGGGTAGAAGCAGACATTCAAAAGGCACTTGAATTATATGAAAAAGCAGCTGAACAGGGATACACTGAAGCACAAAATAAAGTGTGTACTTTTTATGAAAATGGGTCAGAAGTAAAGAAAAGAACAAGGGAGAAGGTTGAGTTGTATGAAAATGTTAAAAAAAGGTGCTTAGAATAGAGTATAAGGCATAAAATTGAGTAAAGATAAATTAAATTTGTCAAACACAAGCTATGAAATTTTCTATATTGATATTGATATTAGAAAAAATAATCTTGAAAGGATTTAATTTATCTATATTGAGTATTAGGATTAGTGTTAGATAGCAAGTTTTAGTAAACAATTTATAATAAAGATGTATCAGTTATGTTTTGTATGGAATACTAGTGTTATGTTTGGGAATGTTTAATTTGACTCAAAATTGCAGTCTTGCTTTATGCCTTGTCAATTATAATTAAGGTGTAGCTCATCCTTAATATTAAAGGTAGGCCTTTTGTATCCCCTATTGCAACTGATTTTCTCTTTGTTTATCAGTTAAAAGTGGCTTTACTGCAGCAACTTGAGAAAAAATTCCAAGTTCATGCAATCCTCTGCAGATAGTTTTGGTGCAAACTTCTTTGCCAGTTCTTTCATTAAAATTTTCTCGAATTTTATCTGCAGAATGCTTGTTACCTCTACGAATAATGTCTTTTAATACTTCTTTATCCTCATTATTTATGGTTTTGGGTCTGCCACTTCTTCGAGCACTTTTTAAATTATCAGAGTTCATATAGCAAACAATGGTATCCTGTACAGTGGATGGCGGAATTTTAAATGTCTTAGATATTTTTGAAATGCTACTTCCACCTATTCTAAGACCTAAGATTTTTCCTCGATCAGCTTCTGTCAATTCGGAACCTTTTGGCATTGTAAAAGTGCTCAAAAATAAAAGTTGGAAACAACGCGATAAAAACACAACACGAAAATCTTTGCTTTTTTTATTTAATTATTTACATACAAAAATGAGGTGGCAAGAAAAAGTTGAATAAAACACATGTTTTGTATTTGGTTTATCATAATAACCCAATTTTATTTATTTAGGTGGATGTTTAAAAATTTACGTTTAATTTCTTTGTGGGCCAAAGATCGGCGAAATTGATTTTAATTGCAATTGCCTTTTGTTTAATAATTCATTGTTAAAAAAAGCTAAACATTCAAAATTCTCATGCAGATTTGCGAAAAGCAAAGCTACAAAATGATATAAAAATTTTGTATAATAGTTATACTGGATGTTGCATAAACTTGAAAAAACTCCCATCAGATACTTTAGTCCAGGAGGGAGTGTACATGTATTTTTCACTAACATTGTTTCTATTACTATGCATCGCGTGTACGTAATTACACGCTTTCGTTCGGAATTCTTCTCAAGACGCACACTCTGCGCGATTCCCCAATTGATGTTTGATTCTTCCGCCGTAGTACAAAATCCGGACAACTTTCCAATATCTCCGATCTCCCTTCGATCGCATATTTGTTCTTCAACAACGAATCGACACACCAAACATGTATCTGGTGATTTTCTTCTTTCTGACAATGTACGTTGTTACAGTTACTGCAGAAGGCTGGTGCTTCTTGGCGCTGTAACAGTCTTCGCTAGACGGTTCAAACTTTCCTCAAGGTATGTCACTTGCTTTTGAAGACTTTATCTTTTGGACGTATGATTCACATACGTCCAAGGTCGAATAAGCATGTTAGTTGATGACTGTCGGCGGGAAAGTTTAGTACGTGTAATCGTTAATATTAATGAGACCAACCGCAGTTTAAAGTACGCATTTGTATTTCCCAATTTAGACTGATCTTGGCTGCGCCAGCAAAATGGATTATTCATTGTACTACTCTCCCCTTAAAGACACGTTTGTAACAAGAATTGTATGTTTGTATTCATCAAATAACAATTGCTAAATTATATGCGAATAAACAGACCCTTAATTGGTATATAAGGTGGTATCTGTCTGGAGCTGTCGATGCCTTTCGCACGACTTGTGATTAAAAGGCATTTAGGAATCGGTTACAAAAATCTTGAGGTTAGACCAATTAGATATTATAGTTCAAGAGGATTATTCAGGTGAGTCAGCCGGGATTGATGCGATGATTAGCTGTTTTCATTGAGGATTGAATGTTTCGATAGATGGAAATCAACGCAAATGTCTTGGCGAATACCAATCGATCCTCTCTCTCTTTTTTTTGACCCAGCTCTCTTCAGCATAATCAACGTCCTGCAGTTTGCCGCTTACTTTCACCTTTACTTGCGCGTCTGAACATGGTTCACTCAGCTGCGTCTTCTCCATACATACTCTCGCCTAATGGCACACATTACATTCTTAACCGTCCGATCGAGAAGTCAGATAACGATGATCGAACTTATAGGATAATCAAATTGAAAAATGACTTAGAGGCAATGATTATCCATGACGAGAAAACGGATAAGGCTAGCGCTGCTTTGGACGTGCATGTCGGAAGTGACAGTGATCCGGTGAGTTAAGCTACAAAATACGTTATTAATTTTGCCTACGTTTTTAACTATTTCATTATTATTGCTTACGTGACTTAGATTAATCTCCAAGGATTAGCTCATTTTTGTGAGCATCTATTATTTATGGTAATATTTATATTTTTTCCCCCTAGTTTTCCGCTATGTTTACTATACTAACTTCCTTACTTTCTATTATTTTCTCGCAGGGGACGGAGAAGGTAAGTTAGCATATTATTAACAAGGGTAGCAGATCACCGTCTAGTGTAATTAGCTCGAAGATTTGGACTAATATTAATCTATGCATTTTTAGTATCCCAAAGAAAATGAATATAGTGAGGTATGATAACGCACATTTGTTACCGTCACTGTCCATCAATATGATGATTCGATTTTCTACTTTAGTATTTGGCCAGGCACACAGGATCCTCGAATGCATATACAGCACCCGATAGTACGAATTACTACTTTGAAGTTGGCGGAGACCACTTGGAGGGCGCTTTGGATCGGTATTATTTTGAATCCATTTACTATGATATTATATAGTACTACTTGTATCGCATTCCTAAACTTGTGTAATTCTCAATATGTAGATTCTCTCAGTTTTTCATCAATCCGTTATTTGACCCGAGCTGTACAGAGCGCGAGTTGCGAGCTGTTGATTCAGGTGAGATTGGACAATGTTTACTTATACTCAGGATATGAATTGTTTCTCATTTCGTGTTTCTCAAAAACATGATTATACTGATTCTACTTTTCCAATAGAGAACAATAAAAACCTCCAAGACGACATGTGGCGTCTAGATCAATTGGAAAAATCTTTATCCAATCCAAACTATGTGTACCACAAGTTTGGAACAGGCAATTCCGTAACGTTGCGCGATCAGCCTCTGAAGGAGGGTATCGATGTTAGGAAAGAGTTACTGAAGTTTCACGAACAACATTATTCGGCCAACCTGATGAAACTCTGCGTCCTTGGAAAAGGTGAGAGTTGTGAAAAGAGCATCTGATGGGGTCGTCAGAGGGAATTTGCGAGTCTGTTTTTTCGAAAGCAGTATTATCTGCTTTTTTGGTAACGCATCCGTGGGGACAGGCCGCTCAGACTCGGGTGAAATTATGCCGGAAATTATTAAAATGAGAATTGTGAACTCTACATATTCCAGAACCACTGGACGTCTTGACGCAATGGGTAGTAGAGAATTTCTCCGACATACCAAACAAATCGCTTCCTATTCCCGTAGCCGAAGGAAGCGCGTTAACAGAAAATGAATTATTGGTATATTATTTGAATATCTTGGGTGTCATCGCATGTGATTGTGTGTTATTATTTATTATGCTTGCACTTGCAGAGAGTAACGTTTGCCAAGCCGGTAAAGGATATTCGATACGTGGAAATTGTGTTTCCATTTCCTGATCAACATTCCTTCTTCAGAACAATGGTATGTTGAAAGCAGTTATATTTATTTGTTAAGAAATGAATATTCAAACAACAATCAAGTAATAATCGGTTATGTCATTACCAATTGCCTTTCAGCCTGGCCGATATTTGAGCCATTTGATTGGGCATGAAGGAAGTGGGTCTATTCTCTCTTTACTTAAGAAGCTGGGATGGGCAAATAGTCTTTTCAGTGGCTCGTATAATGTTTCAGTCGGATGCGAATTCTTTAGGATACAAGTTGATTTAACCGAAGAAGGGTTGAACCATTACGAAGACGTTGTTAAAGTTGTGTTTCAATACATTGATACGTTGAAGAGAGAAGGTGTCAAAAAGTGGATATTTGATGAGGTAAACAGTCGCACGTTATATGCTATTCTGTCTTGCGATTTGGCTGTATTATATAATTTACCAACTCATCATATAATTTTTCTGTCTTCTCGATCGATTCCAGAATGCCTCGTTAGCTGCTATTAGCTTTCGCTTTATCGAAAAATTCACAGTGAGCAACTATACATCTTATGTTGCTAACTGCATGCAGAGACCTTATCCCAGGGAATGGATTCTGAGCGGACCGTATTTGATTCGCGACTGGGATCCTGCACAAATCGAAGACGCGTTGAATTGTTTACGGAAAGATCGGTTTATACTCATGGTAGTTGGAAAAGCGCTGGAAGGTTTGGATCAGAAAGAGAAATGGTACGGAACTGAATATTCAACTAGGAAGATCGGTGAGGATTTTTTGAAGGTTAGTCTGATGGGAACGAAAGAGGGAGAACGAAGTGTATTTCATGATCAGTTGTATTTACACGCCTATCTTTGTGTAGGATTTGAAGAATATACCTGCGAATCCTGGGTTGAGTTTACCACTGCCTAACGATTTTATACCGGAGAACTTTGAAACGCATAAGCAGACTGATATAACGGTAAGAAGTTATATCATGTTCGACATACGTCACTGCTTGTCTGTCATTGCTTATATTATCTTCAACGCTTTCTTTAAAAATAGCCCGCCAAGCGTCCGACACTTATCCAGAATTCACGGTTAGCTCGTGTATGGCACAAGAAGGATGATAATTTTTGGGTTCCTAAAGTGAATTTATATTTCATGTTCCGGACGTACGTATAATTGAACATGTAGCGCTCATTTTTTATCTTATACTTTGAATTCGGTCATGGTGTACTAACGTTCTATATCTTTACAGTCCATCAGCTTATATGACTCCAATCCACTGCGTAAAGACACGCCTTTATACCGATTTAATTCGTGATGCATTGACAGAGTATGCTTATGTAGCGGAAGTCGCTGGGCTATCTTACTCTATATCGAACGAGGTCGAAGGCGTCTGCTTGAGGGTCGAAGGATTCAACGACAAAGTGCATGTATTTTTAGAAAAAATAGTTTCGTTAATGAGAAACTTTAAGGTGGATCCTGAACGTTTTGTGTTGATTAAAGAGCAACTGGAGCGTTATTATCGTAACTATTCATTGGAACCACCATACAACCATGCATTGTATTATGTTCGGTATTTAACAGAAGAATTAAAATGGACCCAAGAAGAGAAACTGGACGTTTTAGAGCCTATTACAGCTGAAGACGTCCAATCATTTTACCCTGAATTGCTTGGCCACCTCCATATTGAAACCATGATTCACGGAAATATGTCTGAAGATGAAGCCTTGCGAGCTGTCAAGACCGTCGAAGATATTTTAGCATTTAAGCCATTAATTCCGTCGCAGATGATCAGACGTCGCCCGCTTCTGTTGCCTGAAAATGGACATTTTGTCTATCAACGTAAAGTTTTTGACGAAAAAGATGTCAATTCTGCTACCGTGTACTATATCGAGGTTGGAAAGGCGCTAGACGTCAAGCTTAGGGCGCGGCTGGCTTTACTGGCTCAGATTGCAGATGAGCCATTTTTCGATCAGCTGAGGACGAAAGAGCAGTTGGGTGAGTAGTGGAGAGTGTTGAGATCATTACGTTAGAGTTTTATGACTTTTAATAGGAAGAGTTGACATAACGGATTATTATGCTTTGACTCACATTTGATATTTTTAGGTTATCTGGTCAGCAGTAGAATGCGCAATGACTATGGCATTATTGGCATGGAATTTATTATTCAAAGTGCAAAAGAGGCAGTACATTTGGAGAACAGAATAGAGGCTTTTCTGTCGAAACTTCAAGTAAGAAAAGCTGTTATAATTGATTCCTTCAGCACGCATCGGGCTAACGGAATCCTAAATTTTACAGTCTATAATTGAAATGATATCCGAAGAAGAATATCAGAAACACGTACAATCTTTGATAACGAAGAAACTCGAAAAGGACAAGAATATAGGCGAAGAGAGTCAGCGATACTGGGGAATTATCTGGAAAGGATTTTATGATTTCTACCAAGGTAACAAAGACGATTGATAAAGCGCATTTCCCAACCAAATCAAGATCTGATGTTAACTTCCCCGGCAATTTCTTATTACAATACACCCAGTCGATCAGGACGTGGCAGAACTCAAAAACGTCTCCAAGTCATCCCTTCTTGACTTCTTTAATGCATATATACATCCATCCTCCAAGATCAGAAAGAAACTTTCTGCTCATCTATGCTCGCAAAATCCTACTCCATCATCACCTCATTCCAAGACATTTGGTATTAATCAATTGTTCAGCTGCCTTCAGTCACATTCACTGACATCTAAGATAACCCTAGAAGATCTTACTAGCAATCTGGAGAACAAAAACTTTGGGTCCTCTGATGGTCAAGATGCGTTGAGAAAGTTCCTTGCTGATAAAACTAAAGCAGATGACAAGGAAATTGAAGAAGTGATAAAGAATATCAATCAAAACCTTGTCAATGGAGAGGATAGTAAGACCAAAGTTGATCAAGAAGTAGCCAAGGACAGTGACGAGACGTTAAGGGACAATTCCATATTGTCGGAGAAGAATGTAATCATCGAAGATTTGACGGCATTCAAGAGTAATATGAAATTAGGCCCGGCTCCGACGACCACAATACCTTTTGAAACGTTGTCCAACAGTGAAATTAAGAATTAGAGTTAAAGTAACGAAAGGAAAGGAAAAAGTTGCCGACTTGATGAAAGCATGGCTAATGTACTTGGGGTGACTTTAAATATTAGAAGTTTCTCTGCTTGTATTAGTAGCAATGGATTGATTGTTAAAATAAAAAAAGCCCGCTTTACAGACATCTCAGTGCAAATGACATTCTATGCATAAGAAGTATTCGCTATATCGACGCAACTGGAAATATTTATTTGTCAACCTAAGCAAAACCATTTAAACTTAATGTCTATGTATATACTCCTGCTGATGCTCTTAAAGAGTTACATTCTATATTACATCCGCACTGGAATTAGAATCCGCAATCGCTAAATTCTTCAATACAATCAAAAAATTCATCATTACTACTGCTCGAATTGTCGACACCCTCCTGTTCATCAACACAGTCAGATTTTTGGGCTGTTTGAAATACACACTCTTCTTTTTTGATTTTTGGTTTATACCGGCGGCGTCTAGGCATTCTATTGTTTATTCCTACTTGTTTAGGCCCCTTTCTTGGGCTATATTTATAATAAGGGTGGGTTTTATGATGAAGTTCTCTTACAACGTCCGAAATTTGAGTAAAAAATCTTATGACTTCAGGAGGTTCCCTCTTCCATTGGGCCGCAGCTTCCACAGACAGCCTAGCCATGTTGAAGGCCCCGTCTATTCCTCTTCGTTTTCGCGCGAGGAAATCTCTTCTGTATATCATAAATCTATTCGGCGGTCGGGCAATGTCTGTGTGCCCACGTTGGACGCTCCTTGGCACTTTGGAGCAATTGATAAGTTCTTCCATGCTAAGTGTTATGTTGGGTGGAGGAACAATGCCTGATAGTAACGATGAAATTGAGCGACCGGATAAGTCCGAGTGAAAAATGATTGTCTGGTGGTTCATGTCTCCTCTTCCGTATGGCGAAGTTTGATGATCGGTTATTGCCGCAAGTCGTTAACGAGACGAAAATCGGATTGTGACACTGTTCTTGTTATTTCTATATAAGAAAACAATATGTAGATACTGCAGCCATGAAAGTATGTTAGGTCATCTGGAGTGACGTAAATGAACTAACTACTCATAATTATTCTTTGATTGCCCGTACATTCTATCAGACGTACTCTATACAATAGTTATTAGATTTAGAATTCACGACATAGCATCCCTGCATACATGGATGTTCTTCTAATAATTAATGCTTCGCATGTGAATCGTTTTGGTTTTTCTTTCAGCTACTAGCCGTTTTAGATTCTATAATTGAGGGGAGTAGTACTTTGGTTTCGTGTTCTACAGCAAAGACATCTTGTAAGCAAAATTTTGGGGAACGAACAATGTGGTTAATAATGATAATGACTAGTATAATTACGATATATAGTTAAGGTATTAACTTATCGAAACTATGCCATGACGTCCAATAACTAATATTATGAAAATCGAAAAGAGAACGAACATTGTCATATAAGAAAATAAGACCTTTTACTTGACAAAACTACCCGTAGTATCTCTGTATAACTAAAGCTTTTTCTTATGTAATTTTCCTCGATTGTTTAATTGCAATGACTTCAAGTGTTGAATAGGCAGTATACGTGTATGGTCTCATAAACGTCATCTTGCCTGAGCTCTCGTTTTTTCCATATCTGCGTGGCTGTACGATAAAAAAGGGGACACTGATAATTGGTTGGATCAATACTACTCCTTATTGTAAAAGAAACGCGGTCAATATTTACTAATAAGAACGAATTATCCCAAACCTACATACTATTATTTCTAAAAAACTCTTACATAGTTCTATCTCCTAAAATTTGTCAATACATAGTTATTTAGTCGTAACTAGAGAATTTATCTGTTTCAAGTCCTTTCCGCCATATTGTAATCATTGGATTTATCAAGTTAAACACGTGCGATCAATTATTGCTGTTTTCAAAATGGTGCGATCATCACAAAATAAAAAAAATTTTTTTTTGCGAAAATAGCGATAATACCT